ACAGTAAGGATCAATATATGACTAGACATATTGTACACTATCCACAACAGACAGTAAGGATCAATACATGACTAGACATATTGTACACTATCCACAACAGACAGTAAGGATCAATACATGACTAGACATATTGTACAATATTCACAACAGACAGTAAGGATCAATAGAGAGACTAGAGATATTGTACATTATCCACAACAGACAGTAAGGATCAATACACGACTAGACATATTGTACACTATCCACAAAAGACAGTAAGGACCAATAGATAGACTAGAGATATGGTACACTATCCACAACAGACAGTAAGGATCAATAGAGAGACTAGAGATATTGTACATTATCCACAACAGACAGTAAGGATCAATACATGACTAGACATATTGTACACTATCCACAAAAGACAGTAAGGACCAATACATGACTAGACATATTGTACACTATCCACAACAGACAGTAATGATCAATAGAGTGACTAGAGATATTGTACACTATCCACAACAGACAGTAAGGATCAATAGAGTGACTAGAGATATTGTACACTATCCACAACAGACATTAAGGACCAATAGAGAGACTAGAGATATTTACAGACATATTTAGACTAGAGATATGGTACACTATCCACAACAGACAGTAAGGATCAATAGAGAGACTAGAGATATTGTACACTATCCACAACAGACATTAAGGATCAATAGAGAGACTAGACATATTTACAGACATATTTAGACTAGAGATATGGTACACTATCACAACAGACAGTAACCATGACTCCTTACAGTAGATCATGTGACACATCACATCCTTTTCAACAATGTTCGTGTTTGTTCTAGTTTTGATTCACTGTAATGGGTCTGAATTAGACTTACATGATGTCAACACCAGAAACTGTTTGATATATCACACTGTAAAGTTCAACTTACCTCATTTGAACACCAAAAACCGTTTCATATAGTATTATATAACAAATGAAATGTTGCTAATACTCATGATTTCTGACTGGTTGTCCTTGTGAATATACCAGTTCTTTGTGCATGTTTTTTTTATTGATCTAACAACAGTAAAGATGTCATGCGAACCACGCATCCCTTCTGCACATATGGCGTACAGGGTTTAAGGGGTAGAACTTGAATAACAGTTATTGTTTAACGTTTAAAGTTTTAGGTAACCTGCTTAAAGCCTCATACAGTCATTGGCTGCCGTCTTCTTAACGACTTTACTCAATCCTTCTTGGTTAGGGTTGACAGTTCATCGTTTCTTCTTTGAAAGCTCTTCTTCATAAATTACATTAGCGACATCGTCTATGGCGAAGTGGATTGAATGTTCAGTAACACAGATCCAAGACACTCTAAACCTTTCACTCACAGCTTCGTTAAGGGAACATTTACCAAGTTCGAAAGCTCGCCGAAAAGTGAATGAAATATTTACGACTAACGTGCCCAACATGATGATATATTGTTACCACGTGCCCAACATGATGATATATTGTTACCACGTGCCCAACATGATGATATATTGTTACCATGTGCCCAACATTATGATATATTGTTTTATACAACGAACGATATTTTTTTAACTTATAGTCTGCGTTAGAAATGAGCCAAATTAGTTGATATTTACTTTTACTGTTCCATACAGCGAACAATCTATTTTTAACTTATAGTCTCCGTACGAAATCACTTGATTTTTTACACCAAATGTTTAGTTTAATTGGAAGATCTCTTTATGCTGATAGGTTTGGACCAAACACACCATGTCAGAAGTGACTAGTGGTCAGCATGCTAGGACTGTGAATATCGTGAAAACTACTCCACATTTTGGGCCGGAGGTGTGCCATAAGAGAGACAGTCATATCTCTCTACAGAAATCTGAGTAGTTTTAGTAAAACGATTTTGAATATGCAAATCGCTATGTTTTAATAATGTTTGGCGTTATTTAGGTAATTTGATGCCACCGAAAATATTCATACACTCAGTTCATAAAGATGTGTTTATATCGAGGCTTTAGAATTTCGAAAGTGGAAATATCCCTTGTTCTTACGGCATTGGAAAACAAAAGAGTATGGATCAGTTTGGGATATCAGGACCGTCCAAAAAAAGACCTGCAACAAGTCGTACCCCTGCTTTGGTAAGTAAAGGGCAGCATATTATAATAAGTGAAAATCCACAAACACAAAGTTCCGTGGCAAAGGCCATCTGTGTATCCCAAAAAACACAACGCAATATTATCAAGAAGAATCTCCGTCTGGAACACCCACACGAGTCACGTGTTCCCAAGATGCTTCCACGATATATCAGTTAAACTGTCACATACCTCAAACAGCTGGAAAATGAATGGGTATTTATGGTATTCCATACGAAGATATACAGATGGAGTTGCCTACGGATTTTTGTGCAATCGGATTGTTGAAACGCGTATTGAGAAATCATCTTCTTCGTATTATAGGTGGCTTATAGAACGTATAAGTGGAAGGGATGCGCTTTGGATATAACATTCTTACGATGGAACCTAAGTTACAGAAGTATTGTCAAGAAGCATGGTCGGACATGGTGACTTGGACAGTAGCGATAGTGAGGCTCCAAAATGTGAAATGTCATTATGCTTCAATATTTTCTATAATTTATCACACTGATGACGTAAAAACATTTTAAACCATTTATACGTTATTGACTTCATCAGTAGCGCTTTAAGAATAGTCCATTTAAACCTTATTGGCTAATTAGAAGTTTTTAAACCGCATTCTAAAATCTTAGTGGCTAATTAGAAGTTTTTAAAACCACATTCTAAAACCTTATTGGCTATTCTGAAGTTTCTAAAATCGCATTCTAACATCTTATTAGCTAATTTGAAGTTGTTAAAAGCCAGTTTAAACCTTATTGGCTAATTAGAAGTTTATAAGGAAATGTATAAATCTATAATGATTTTCTTTGTTAAATTCGCTCTTAGCAAATTCAGTCTAACTTTTTCATTTATTTTCATAGAAACAGTCTTCATCAAACGCTGTTGCTTCTGCCATCTTATACAGTTTTTGTGTAGTTGTTTTATTTCGCGAAAGCCACTCGAGGGCTATCTGCGTTAGTCGTCCCTAATTTTAAAGTGATAGACTAAAGAGAAAGCAGCTAGTTAACATCATCCACTGCCAACAGTTGATTTGTTCAAATCGAACAGTGGGATTTGATTGTCACTCCTGTAACATACTCACGGCCCCAAAGTTCAGAGCGTGACTTAATTTTGCGTCAACGAAATACACATCAGAAACCTTATGATCCACAACCCGAAACACCAACTTCTACACAAAATAAGCTTTCAGGATTAATACTTTATCATCTTTTTTCTCTACACATTTAAATCATTTATTTTAGTTGCGTATAGAAAGCGTCAATATGTTAAGGAAAAGAAATCCACAGGACAAAAATATATATATTTAAATGTCAGCAAGTTTCGAAGGCTTCCAAAGCAAAAATCATTAGATCTGAGAATATGAAACTTTCTGAAAAACTAACTTAAAAAATTATGTTTTAGTTGACGATTGGTAAGGACCATAAGCAACTATTTTAATCAACAGGACATTAAGAGTGTTATACACTAAAGTACTGAATAATAGCTTAATGTATTTAAAGTCAATAGTACTTTAACTCAATGTTATAGTCAACAATATTTTAACTCAATCTTATAGTCAACAATACTTTAATTCAATGTTATAGACAACAATACTTTAATTCAATGTTATAGTTAACAGTACTTTAACTCAATGTTATAGTTAACAGTATTTTAACTCAATGTTATAGTTAACAGTACTTTAATTCAATGTATTAGTCAACAGTACTTTAATTCAATGTTATAGTCAACAGTACTTTAACTCAATGTTATAGTTAACAGTATTTTAACTCAATGTTATAGTCAACAATATTTTAACTCAATGTTATAGTCAACAATACTTTAATTCAATGTTATAGTTAACAGTACTTTAATTCAATGTTATAGTCAACAGTACTTTAATTCAATGTTATAGCCAACAGTGCTTGAACTCAATGTTATAGTCAACAGCTGTTCTGACAGCTGTGTAGAGTATACAATATGTCTAGTCAGTTCCTTACTGTCTGTTCTGACAGCTGTGTAGAGTATACAATATGTCTAGTCAGTTCCTTACTGTCTGTTCTGACAGCTGTGTAGAGTATACAATATGTCTAGTCAGTTCCTTACTGTCTGTTCTGACAGCTGTGTAGAGTATGCAATATGTCTAGTTATTGTATTGTTCTATACTCTTTATTCTGACAGTTGTCGAGAGTATACAATATCTCTAGTCTCACTATTGATCCCTAGTACAAACACGAACATTGTTTAAAAGGATGTGATGTGTCACATGGTCTGTTGTAAGGAGTCATGATTAATATAAACACGAGCTTTGTTTAAAAGGATGTGATATGTCACATGATCTACTGTAATGAGTCATGAATAATATAAACATGAATATCGTTTAAAAGGATGTGATGTGTCACATGGTCTGTTGTAAGGAGTCAATATTAGTATAAACACGAATATTGTTTAAAAGGATGTGATGTGTCACATGGTCTGTTGTAAGGAGTCATGATTAATATAAACACGAATATTGTTTAAAAGGATGTGATGTGTCACAAGATCTACTGTAAGGAATCATGGCTAGTACAAACACGAGCATTGTTATTTTCCCCTTCCTTACTATAAAGATCTTTTAGAGCATCAGTGTAAGAACGTT